AAAAGGAGTAGAAGTTTTTGTATTCTATATATCTTTATAATAATTGAAAAAAGTGCAATAAACAATAATAGACAGGACAGTTAAATATATTGGATGTCTACAAATTGACAAGATTAATTATGTACACTCTGTGATCATACAAAAGGACAAACTTGTGTAAAGAAATGAATATATAACACACTATAAGCATATGTGTTACAAATAGAACTTTATTGAAAAATATGATTTGATGAAACTTTGGAAATTCTTTATCAATATAATCTTTAATTTCTTTATCTATAAACTGAAGTTTCATTACAATCATTGATTTCTTTGTATTATTTATTTTATTGATTTCTTTATATTACTTGATTGCATGGAAATATACATGTTACATGAATATTATTTTGTATTATGATGATGTACTATGTACAAATCAAAAATAAAAGTTCTGTTCTGCACATTGTTCTACAGAAACAGTTTCTTCATAACTTTGTATTTTGACAATTCTAAGTTTAATATATCCTAAATTAAGTTTTAATATCACTTTGTATAGTAATTAAGTTTATATTCAATTTTTTTTTGTCACAATGCATAAACGGAAAGATTATTAAGTCTATATCATAATGGTCAAAGACAAATGAACCCAACTAATCATGGTTTAATGAAAATCTTGACTTATAATGAAACAACAAATTTTAATTCATCTGAAGGGTCCTAAATATATGATGATTATCTAAATTATTCCTATAACAAAAATCTAAAATAAATTTAAGTAATTATAAATATCTTATTATTAAGCTCAAGAGAAAATATATCCATATAATTTTCTTTTCCTTTTGTCAAAATCTCAGCCATTAGTTTACTTATGATGAAGAAGACAAATTTCATCAGATTCACGGTAAACAGGAAAGTATGACATTATCAAAGGTCTTAAGGAAAACGAGAACTGTGTCCAAAGGACACGGATGCCCCCACTGACAACATATATATGGTATATAGTGAAAACATCAACAAAGGGCCATAATTCTGTTAAATTTGGTTGCAGCAAAAATTCCTTCATTTACTTCCATCTACACATTAAGGATGTTCATCCCTGGAAGTTTAAGAAAATCTGCCATCCGGTTTAAGAGGAGTTGCGTTCACAAAATTTCTATAATTATGGTACATAGTAAAAAATCGACAAAGGGCCATAATTCTGTTAAATTTGGTTGCAGCAAAAATTCCTTCCTTAACTGCCATCTACACATTAAGGTTGTTCATCCCTGGAAATTTAAGCAAAATCTGCCCTCCGGTTTAAGAGAAGTTGCGTTCACAAAATTTCTACATAGTATATAGTGAAAAAATCAACAAAGGGCCATAATTCTGTTAAATTTGGTCGCAGCAAAAATTCCTTCCTTTACTGCCATCTACACATTAAGGTTGTTCATCCCTGGAAGTTTAAGCAAAATCTGCCATCCGGTTTAAGAGGAGTTGCGTTCACAAGATTTCGGGACGTACGGACAGACATACGGACAGGCGTTAGGACAGACGGACAGACAAGTGCAATGCTATATGCTCCCCACTTTGTTGGGGCATAAAAACTTATTTAATCAGATATAAAATTTTCTTGATTCCTGATAAATTATTCAACAGTCTCACAGTGTACTTGAGAGTATATAATACAATGTTTTACACTTATTTCTTGACTTTATTTATTGATGGTCACCATTACAATATACCATATTTTTGTGACGTGATGACATTTTAAAATTTGCATAGAGATATATAGTTTAGTACTTATAGGCATGAATATGTCAGAAGCAGACGTTATAATCTGGCATTTGCATGACTCTGGAATCACACCAGTTCTGCTAAGTCATGACTTTTTGATCACACGTACGAAAGTTATATATTGTGCAATTATATAATGACCTATTATTTATCCAGAAAACTGCAAATATTGAGAAAATAATTTGCTGTCAATTTATATATATAAATCAACTTTCATCTATTTCTTTACAACCTTATAGGTCTTCTTATTTTCAATGAAATTCTTTGCAAAATTATATTTAAGTATATATACCAGTTTGAATTGTAAACTCCGGTACCCACTACCATCCCTGGGCAAAAAAAAAGCAGTACATAACTGATCTGGGAAATTCTGGCACCAAAATGACAGGGGGAAGATTGTCAAACTTGTGTGGGGACATTAATCAGGATTATTCAATCATTTTAATTGGTTTAAAATGATAGTAATCAAAAAGCCAAAGTCCCTCCTGACTATGGACGGGGACTCAACAGTTGTGAAAAGAATCACTCGTACATTGCAGTTATTATTAATAAAACAAATATCTCCACTCGGCACTATTTTCGTACAATGAAATTCAAATATTATTAATAAATAGCCTTAGATTAACTGTATAATATCTTTTCATAAAAAAAGTTTTTAACTACAGTATGTGTCTCTGTCAGAAGATTTAAATATGCATAAAGGCTTAATAACAATTAGCTTCACAGATTAAGTTCAAACTTTTACTGTCTTACCAGCGTTTTATCGAGACCGCGTTACAATAGAAAATGACAAAGAAGTATGTACTTTTAATCCACCAGATATCACTCAATAGATAATCTTCCTCTAATCCCCTTTTTTACCTTTTTCGAAATCGGATATCATATCTAAAAAGGAAGAACTGGACGGATTAAAGGATAATAGGTCTTTAATCCATATCATTAGATTTGTATCTGATTTTTTTGGTATGTATTCTTCAACAGAGGCGAGATCTCCATTGTAAATAGTTGTATTTACATGTATATATGAAATCTTCATGTAGAATTTGAAGTCGATCGATTTAGGTTTTTTGAGGTTTTTCTTAATTTAACCATATGGTAGAATGTAATTTAATTTTTTTTTAATGCAAATGAAACATATGATTGACTTGATATATTAAAAATATTGACCTAGCTGATGTGTTTTCACTATCATGTGAAATTAAGTAAAGCTGTACCTTTGCAAAAATTTCATCTTAAATCTATATATATCTTTAGTAGTTGATATATTTAAAGAAATTGACTTATAATCCAGAAAATTATTTAAATTTTCATTACCATCAATAAAAATACATGTATCTATAATTGGTACACCAATTACATTATGTACATGTATCTTCATAAATCATTTGAATCTTAATTTTGAAATATTTTCATAAAAAACATACAATTTTATTTGAAATTATAAACATGTATTTTAAGATTGTATGAAGCATCAAATTTTTTGCAAAGAAGATTTCATAACTGACAGCCTTATTTAAAATAAGTTACATGTAATGTAGCATCATCATACAGTACTGAGAAGTATCTAGATAAAATTAAATCTATCAATATTATAATTATTAACTAAATCAAATTATTCTATCATTTTTTTGTTAAATTAAATAGAATAATTGTTAAAGGATTTCAATTAGCAAAATTGTAATCCATTTCCACAGTATAATTATATCTGAATCTGTATAATATTATCTTTTATTGTGTATTTTCCTGAATGAAAATTATGTTTAAACTTAAATTAGCAAAATTACTGTTTTCATTTCAAAACTGACAGTCTCTAAGGTTAATAATATGTGTTAAATTAAACATAATCTTGCATACAGAATTTTTATACAGAAATATATTCATCCTTACTTAATAAAACTTGTATGCTACTTTAATTAATTGCAACTTGAATCATCCAGTTCAAAAAGCTAGCTTTATTCCACTTATACTGCTTAATTTCAAAATCTAGAACCAGCTGTATTATAATTATGTAACTAAAGTTTATGCAGCTTTTAAAATTGCATGTAAGAAAATTAATGATCTGTTACTTTTTCATGTAAGAAAATGATATGTTACTGTTTCATGTACGAAATGGCCTGCTACTTAAATTTAATGTAAGAAATGGCCTGCTACTTAAATTTAATGTAAGAAATGGCCTGTTACTTAAACTGCATGTATTAAGACATAAAAATGTAAGAAATATGCTTGCTGCTTAAATTGCATGTAAGACATAGCATTGTAAGAAAGGACCTACTACTTAAGTTGTATTTTGCAACTTAAAGCTGGCTGACATAAAACTATTTAACTTTCTTTATATTATTATGCCACCTGACTTTGTCAGATTTAAAAAAAATATAGACGGTATAATAAACTTAAATGTTACAATAAAACAAGAAAACAAATATCTTTTTTTGTAAATCAAATTATTTTTTTACACATGTATATAGCATGTATATAGCATAAGAGAAATCTCTCTGTTAACAAAAACTATTTTATATACATTTATATTTTGCCTATATACATTTACTGCAATATTTGTTGATGGTAAGTAAATAAAATTATGCTTCAACTAACAAATGCTGTCTTTATTATGTTTGCACCAAAATTATTTTAAAAACATATATGGGCAAAAAATTTGGTCATACCCTTTATGTTTAACTCAATAATTTGAATACAAGTTGTGTTGGGGGGTCAGGGGGGGGGGGGGTAATTTTGTTGGTTTTTTTCCTCACATAAATTTTGTAACACTAAATAAATCAAGTATTTTTTTTATTTAAATTGTATCTTTTAAGCAGGACTTTTAACCTATCTCGGTATACTAAATTATACATATCCAACATTGCCAATGATCATGAAAAATAAAATAAAATAAAATGAAATTAAAAAATATTACTAATATCTAAAAAGATTGAATTTGTATTTAGTATTCAATTCTAGCTGATGATTACAATTTCACCTTCACCAAAAGAAAGTTGTGACTTGAAACTCAAGTTTAAATCCTGGTAGGCATATAATCATCTATGACTACCTGTTTTACATAAAACATATCTTTTTATAACCAGGTGCTGTAAATCTGAAAAATTGTGATGAATGTAACAAATCAATTATACATAAAATAAATATGTAAAGAAACAAAACGAAAATGAGCACAGTACAACTAATGTAAGTTCTTTGAGAACTACGAAAACTTTAGCAAATACCCTATACATATGTGTGTAAGAAAAACTTACCTTTGGCAACTCGTCTGGCTTGGCACTTCGATCTCATCTTGCGGAATGAAGATTTTCTTGCAACAAATGTGATTGATATGCAATGTGTCACAAAAAGAATATTGAAAATTAATTCATCAGTTCATCCATTCGTAAGCCTTTGCAACAGCTTGGAAGATGTTATGTCTTTAGCGCATGCGCCAAGCTTCCCGCTTCTGCAACTTATATCCGGTGCTTACCCTTTTAGCTCGTGCAAAAAAATTACGTGACGATTTTTTAAAAATAAATTATTATTTTACTATCTAAATTTATTTAATTTAACAATTTCACGAAGTTCAGTTGTTTTTCTTATAAGAATGATCAACTCCCCTCTTTTTAAAAAATTAAAGGTTTTATCTTTGTCGTCAACGAAAAGAGAAAAAACATGAAATTAAATAAGTCCAGACTTCTAAATGGATAATGGCCGGATAAATTCACAAATGACTTCGGTTTAATCTGATAGTCAATTGATTTTGGCGATCCGAGCTATTGGTTTCTCTATTCAAGTGTATTAATCTATAATAGATTCTTTATTTCCAAAATGAAGATCGTTTTATTTTTACGACTTGAATTGTTAACGGAGGAACCAGGCATGAAAGTGATGCTGAATGTCACAGGGGTTACTGTAATTAAAAAAAAAAATGAATAAATAAATAAACAGAATAAAATAAAGTTTAGTTAATATTCATTGGTGATCGTTAAATAATCAACTTGACAATAATTTACTTTTGTTAAATCTAAATCATCGCATATTGACCGAATTAGCATAATTATTTTGATTTTTTTTTTAAATTGTATTTGGAAAGGCACTAAAATATTTTTGTCTGTACTATAAACCATAGAGTTCTTTCTTGACTGTTTAATTCAGGGGTTAAACAGTTTTAAAAAATCAACTTTGGTTTATTCAAATACGACTGATAATGTGGACATAATGCAATAGCGGCTATAAGAGGACTGAAACATATCTACTGATGTTTCTAAACTTAAAATTTCACAAATTTATGTCTTAATCTTGAATTTTGCTTAAGCCGGTGCTAGGGGTGTAGATGGTAAGCTTGCATTTACGACTTCCTTGCATCAAACTGGGCCTGCAACTTTTTCAATTATGCCATTCCGGGCGTTCTTTAGGGATTCATGATGATATATCTATTAAGTAAAATAAAATATATAAGATAATTATTATTTACTGTATGCCAATTAGAAAGCTGTCGAAAACGAAAGTAAAGTTATGAAACTTTAATCTGCCGAATGTATACTCTTACTGTATCTATTTGGAACCCCATATCTTAGATAAACATTTAAAGCTTTGAATGTTGATTATACACAAAACTGAAAGAAACAACGCATTAAGTACTGATACTACCCTACCGTTCACATGACCTATGTAAGCAAGTGGTAAAGTGCCCTGGCGTTGAATCACTGTTTTGGGTTCGAGTTTTACCAGTGCCATTTGGGAAGGTCATGGATTTAATTCAAGTGCTCGCAAGAGCCACAAATAATGCACAACTTAGCACATGAGGTCTTCTTTCACCAGTTAAGCTAAAATGGCACCACACGACAGCGTTGGTGTATCTGAAATCCGACGTGATTTGACTTCATTTGATACGTAGACCAATAAAAGGACATTTTTACAACATACTAAAAACGAACGCGTTAATTTGAAATAACTATTTTTGTTTATCTTTTAATTGAGAAAAAAACGTAAATGCTTACAAAGATAGTTTTGCAAATTTGTGCATTAAGTTAACATTTTAAGGTATGCACAAGTTGCGATAAGTTGTGTTTAAACATTAATTTTATGTAATCTAACGAAATTTTACTGAAGCCCCATTCCATTAACAACAACGTTTGTTGCTTCAGTCATTCTTCGTAGTGCTTTACACGATGTGCACAGGAAAGTGTTTTCTTTCTTTCTTTTATTTTCTTTTATTTTATTTTCTTTTCTATTATTTTCAATTATTTTCTGTTACTTTTTATTATTTTCATTTTTTTCTATTCTTTTCAATTCTTTTTTTTTTCTTTTCAATTCTTTCTTTCTTTCTTTCTTTCTTTTCTTTCTTTCTTTCTTTCTTTCTTTCTTTCTTTCTTTCTTTCTTTCTTTTCTTTCTTTCTTTCTTTGTATTTCTATGAAAAATTACAAGCTGGTGTATCCGTTGATCTCTTCTTAAACCCGCCATTTATTGTACTCAAAAACATATTCAAAGACCATTTGCGGAACTTGAGGACGATGCTTTTTTTGTTCATTAAAGTTACACCCCTGTGCCAACAGCATTACGATGAACATACAATGGATACTTTCATTCATTGCGTATAATCTAGGTGTAACTTAAACAACTTATATATTTTTCATATATCACATCTTCATAACAAAGGGCTATTTGATTCAGTTCAATTTTAATGGCGATAAAATCGAGATGTTGATCCGCGGATTAATACATTATCAAAGTTGACACATACAGGTGATACTTATGAGGTATTTGGATCCCTCTGAGCACGCTCCAACTTGTTGCACATTCGCAGTGTCGTCTTTCATTCTTCATTTGTCTTAAGTTTCTATTTTTTTTTTCAAGTTAAAAAGTTAGTCCGGTCCATACTTACATTTGTTACATTTATAATTGTTGATTTAACGACACTGTCTTTTGTTAGCGTGGTTGTGAAAAAATGCATTATCTTGTAGCAGATGCATTTTTAAAGACGGGCTTGTGTGTTCAATTAAGTGGAACTACTTTCAACATCTGGATCGCTATCGATTCAAAATTAGTATTTTGTCTTAAGCCTAGTCACACGTTACTGTATCTTTTTTTCTACTTTGATCTGTTTTCATTAGATCATTTTTTCTTTAAAATTGTTTCATTTTCATAATGTCTTTATATAATGTCTTTTTATAATGTCTTTTTTACTGATTATTTGCAGAAGAACGCTTATATAGTAACGGTTGGCATAAATGCATGTACACAAATGATATCTTTGTAGAAAAAAAGAAATATTAAGAACAAATGCTTTATCATGAAATAATATTATTCAATTTAAGATATAAAGAAATATTTTGCGCCAGTCACAGCACGGTGTGCGCAAGTCCCAACCTGCTTGTTAACAAAACCTAAAACTGGACAACGTGGTGCTTCGTCCATTAACAATACAACATTATCTTCTTATAGATATACGTTAACTGGACTCTTTAAACAGGATATCAATGTTTTCAATGGCTGATTCAAACAACAGATACACATATCAATATCATAGTTTACTTACAGTGTTCAAATGTCAACACGCAGACTATAGCCTCAATTATTGCAAGGAGCTGTCCCTAATTAACGGTAGCGGCCTGTATTTGTCAAATTTAGAAATTAAATTAACACCCATCCAAACTATCTAAAAATCGAAAGGTTACGCGATCTACGAATTCTGGAGCAGCCTTTAACTACAATAAAAGAGACTAATTGAATTCATTTTATATTCATTTTCGATGTCCATGTTATACATAACGATCCTAAGTTAATATTTGGTATGTCAATACGCTGTTGGGATATATAAACACAAATTGTCAGTTTTGTTAGTAGTAAAGAGTGCAAAAGTAGCGAAAATGTTTCGCCAGTGTCTTTTGATGTTTTCAAATGAACAATATGGTTAAACTCTCTTAATCAGATGTCAGCATTTTAAATTTCCGCCTTAAAAAAAAGTCCTAGACATCATTTCCGGTTTTACCTTTTTAAACTGCCTTTCTTTTCAGTTTCATCAAAGATATTGCCATGGATGGTATTGAATGGGTAGCAAAAATTAAGTTCCTTTGAAATCCATCGCTTTTTATATAAACTTTGTCCGAAAAAAGAGCGTTTAGATAAAGAAAAAAATAGTCATATCCTAATAATTTTTCATAAAATTTTGATTTTATGTTATCACTACTTCAGAAAAATTGCTGAGATTGCAATTTACTGACAGTGACTTTATTGATTTACTTTATGTTCTTTGAGCATGTTTTTTCTGATTAGTATTAAGATTTCAGTTTATTATTGTGGGTACATTATATTATATCACTTGATTTTCATTATCATTGTTTCAAAATGAACAAGAAGCGAACGAATCTCAAAACTTCGAAATTCGACACCTCGCTGTGCCTCAGAAAGAGGCCATTTTATAATTCCATTGACCTGCACTACTTTTTTGTTTACGGTTAATTTTTAGAGTCTCCAGTCTGATAAACAAGTATACATTGCTCATTAGACACGAAAGTAGCATAACTAACCTAACGTTAGTTTATGACAGTTCTATACAACCTATTCTTCTTGCATGTGGTCCCATCCGGCTAGGGGACCGTCCGGACACCCATCCAGTCGCCGGATTAGAGTCAAAATAACTGTCCCTTTAACAGCGTGTAGCCGCTATCATCATCAGATCTGTTTATTTAATTTGAAGCATCAAAAGCCTGATTAAGCAGCCGGAAAATTGAATGAATGAAGAGAGAGATAAGATGTTTAAGTTGAAGATCCGTTGTATTCGCCCACATTATCTCTATTGTACAAAACGTCATTCATAAAAACGACCGAACGTGCCTCAGAAAAAAAGTGATTTAAGGGCCGCCAGCTGAGACAGGGATCTTATCTAGTGTCCCCTTAAATAGTCCGTTGATGTCAGTTTAATCCCTTGATGTTATATGCTTACATTACCCTTTTTTCATAGACCTTATTTTTATGGAAAAAAAGAGAAAAAAAAGGCATCAACACTTTTTTTATTTTGAATTTTTTTTAACATAGCCATACACTGACCAGATTTCAAAGTGTATGTAACAGTATTCAAATAATTTTCAGTACATTGAATGATTCGGGGATTCATGTGGCGGTCCATGATCTGTATTTAATACAAGACAAACGTATATCGAGAAAATGGGCAAGTGCGCTCTCATTGCGTTGACTATTTCACATTAGTTTAATGTCGATTTCACCTAACTCTAGTCGATTCTTTCGTAGAATAATGTCGTTACATTCTTAAATATATTTTCTGATGCCATCTGTTGTTAATGGGAAGACAATATGCTATTATAACGGTTATGTTGCACCGTTGTACTGACGGGCTTTTACAACTCAAAGTGATGTTACACGTGAAACACATGTACGAGGAGTTCTTAGTAGTTGATGTGCGTATGCTATAAGATATAGCAATGCATTGTATCGCATCCAATAAGAATTTGTAAGCATTTAGAAATATCAATAATTCAATAAGATATGTTAAT